GGTGTGGGTGTGGTGTGGGTGTGGTGTGGGTGTGGGTGTAAATGTGGGCATAATGAAAATAAAATAGACAATACCCACGTCGATAACCATACCCAGACCGACCCACACTCACATTCACCCACACGCACTCATAAGAAAACTTTGATTTATCTTGAAAACAGTATACATCTAATCTGTGAGCGTTTTTTATTCATTCTAAGTATGTCTTGCTATATAATGTAACAATCAATAACTAGATATCAGTGGAACAGCGCGCCTGAAATCATCAGTGACGCCGAAAGTGCCAGTGCATCAGTGGTCAGTGATGTAAAGGACATCAGTGTTTCAATTCGATCGGTGTCAGTGATCACCGAAAGACATTGAAACACTGACGGTGAACTCTGAATGTACACTGATCCTCAGTATCAGTGCAACAGTTTCAGTTTTTTCAGTATTATCACTGACACCGCACATCCCTAACTTTAATACAAGGAGCTGGAACAATTGGCTCCTACACAAAGTATACAAGAGAAAAGAGAATAGTATTTGTAAAAAAACATAAATAGTTTAATTCTAAAATTAAATATTACATTATCAACTAATATATGACTGATAGATTGATTAAATTGTTTGCACAATAATTTTATTACACGAATTGGTAACAAATCTAAATATAATGAAAATATGAAATATGAATGAAACTATTTTTTTGTTGCTCTGATTCAACTGTTTTTATGTTTCATTAATAAAAAACATCACACCGATTATAGAGAATAATTAAAGACAAAAGTTTAGCAATAAAGATTCTCTTACAATAATTAGTTTTGATTCTCAATCCTGAAAGGATGAGTTGGCAGCACGGAAATTATACTGTTTGTCCGCAGGGTCAAGAAAACATGGAAAACTAATTTTTCGAAAAAGAGATTTCTAGAGGTTTTTCGATACGAGGACTTCGAATTTGAGGTCAGCTGGGTGACCATGGTTAGGAGTGGTTGGGTGAAGAGGATGGGTGTGGGTGAAAGGTCAAAAAAACATCGAAAATCAATTTTCAGGAAAAGACATTTTTAGAGGTATTTCGATACGGGGAGTTCGAATTTGAGATCTGTGGGGTGGCGATGGTTAGGGATGGGTGTGGGTGAAAGGTCAAAAAAACATCGATAGCCGATTTTTTGAAAAGCACATTTCTGGAAGTATTTCGATGCGATGAGTTCGAATCTAAGGACTTTCGGGTGACCGCGTGGAAGGGGGGAAGAGGGATCAAAGGTCAAAATATATCGAAAATGATTTTTTCATGGTTTTCGTTTCTGTTTTCAGTAAATATGGAGAAAATGCATTTCTACGAGAAAGAGCCAAGCGAGTGTTCGAACGAGCGTTGCTTGTAAGCTCAATAACCTTGGTCAAACATCTAGGGATGGAGACGTCGTTGGTGAGAATGTAGGTGGGGTGAGGAGCTGGATGAAGGTGAAAACCAAACGAAATCGAGTATTTTAAAAAATACATTTCTAGTAATATGTCAATGAAGAAAACTCGAGTCTGAGGTCTTTTTGATCAGACAACTTGAGGGTGTGGGTGATAAGTCGAGGGAACGTGAGAATCTATAGGAATTGAGTTTTTGAAAAAGTGAGTGTGGGTGTGTATGCAAATGTGGATGAGAATGTAGAACGGTAAACTACTCACACCCAAATCTCAAACTCTACAATCAGATCCACATATACACTCACCTACACCCTCTCTAACGACTGCTGTCTCAGAACACTTGATGAAGAGAACGAACTTGATACGAGAAGACAGTAAATGGGATATCAGGCGTCAAATGTAATCTACATCACCGAGTAGTCGGGAGTGGAGGACCGAACGAACGCCGACGAGGACCGACTACGAGGTGAACGGATACTCCCTGGCAAAAAATATAGTGCGGTCACGAAAGAACATGTTGTATCTCTCCTTAAAAGATATGGTGAAAGAGTTAAGCCTGACGTTTTATAAGCGCCAACCGATGGTTATTAGGTAAAGGTCAGTCGTCATTAAGCGAACGTCCTCAACGAGCATTACCCGTAGATAATATGAGTTTGGTTACAGATATTAGTTGGAAAACGGGATTTACCTTCAAATCATTCTACAAAATACAAAACGTTTTTGTGTACTTTTATAATTCAAGAGAAAACATTTGTGTCTAAATTAGATATAAATTGATAGATCGATGCTCTCAGTCTAGTATTAACAGAATATAGATTTATCCTATACAGTCGAGGGTCAAGGGAGTCGAAGCGATGAACGTTACTTGTTTGTGGAAAGAGCTTTGTGTGATAGACTACATGAATTTTCTTGAGTTGCGAGCGTCTTTTTTATTTACAGAAAACAAAGCATATAAATACGACGTGAGTAGTGTCCCTATAATAACGATCTTCAGTTGCTTAATATCACTATATGATATGCTTAGTGATCTAAGGTTGTCGTGTTTGCAGTACATCTATTGTTCTTTTCAGGATTGAGTCGAGCGAGGTCCAAGGGACCGACGCGCTACTTGTATCTATATAAATCTTTTATCGATCATATTAAAAGAAGACCATACTTAATTTTTCAACTTTTTACATCTTCCTCACCCATAACAAATAATGAATTATTCGGCAATTTATCAAATAAACGTGGTAATATTTCATTTACATTCTGTTCAATATCAATGTTTTCGATCATTTTGACTTCTTCAAACATCTAAGAAATAAAGATGATGAAATTCTGAAAGAAAAACATATTTTTAAAATAAACTTACGAAATGTGTATATGAATAATCAGGAAATTTCTCTGGTATTTCATTAATTGTGTGTGAACGAATGAATGACCGACGATAACCAAACGTTTTCTTCCATAATGTAATTAATTCGTCGTTATGTATTGTTTCATTTTCAATACCTTCGTTCATAGTTTTGATTAATTGTTCAACATCACTTTCATCCATAATAGTACTAACATAAATCTAGAACAATGAAGAACATTATTTTGTATGAAAATTTTAGAATTAAAATTCAACTGACCATTTTATCAGATTTTCGTTCAGCAGATAGTGCTTCCCTTTTTTTTACAAAGCGTCCAGAACCTTTTCCAAATTTTTCTTTTTTTCTCTGGGCTACTGCAGATGTGTTTTGTAAAAGTCGACGTTCATTTTTGAACTTTTGTTTTACTGCTTCTCGCCATTCATTCTATGAATAATTTGTTCGAGAAAATTATAAGAACAAATATTTTCTTACAGTTGCATTTGCATCCGTTGTTGAAATATTTAATGCTTTGAGCAAAGCTTGTGTAATTAAAAAATAATCATTTCCTTTAGGATATCTATCGTGAGAAAAAAACAAAATTCGATTTTGAATCTACAAAATTCATTTCTATTATTATATACAATAAATTATATGTGGTAGCAACAGCTTTAAACACAAAGTTGAGCAATATTCGTCTATGATTTGTATGTCCACGGAGTTTCATTAACTCATTCTCATCAATAATCACTTGTATTTCTTCTGGTAGTGATGAAAATGCAAAATCAGTTGGCAATAGGCATGTGCAGTGTCGATTTACTGAGCACTGAATTTCACTGACAACGATTTTCAGTGACACTTATATTCGGTGTTCGGTGTTCACCGTGCCACTGAAATATCGGTGTCAGTGTCCACCGAACACTTATTTTCGGTATTCGGTGCTCACCGTCCAGTTTTTCGGTGAACATACTGATATATTGTTGTAAATAATAAGGTTTAACACAAAAATATTTTAGAAACAGATACCTTCGCTGTTCAGTGAACACTGGCACCGATATTTTCAGTGGCACGGTGGGCACCGACCACTTATATTCAGTGTTCGGTGGACACTGACACCGATATGTCAGTGGCACGGTGGACACCGACCACTTATATTCAGTGTTCGGTGAACACTGACACCGACATGTTCAGTGCCACGGTGGACACTGAACTGATATTTTAAGTGTCAGTTTTTCAGTATTTTCACTGACACTGCACATCCCTAGTTGGCAAATTCTGTTGAGGTTCTTCTGAATCATCAGTTTCATCATGATTAACCTTATCATCGATATCTGATGCTGCATCAAATTCGTCACCATTCATATTGTTACTAGATAATGATGGATTATTTAGTAAATCTTGTGTTGAAGTTGTTGATTGTGATGCCGTGCAAGTATCAAATGTTTGTTTGCTAGATTGATTCAGAATATCTCCATCATCTAATTGTTCATTTACAATATTATTACATTGTTTGATCAATAAATCACCTTGTTCAGTGAATAATACTCGATCTTTTAATTTTGGAAATAATGTACGTACTTCATCGTATGGCAATCTTGCTAATGCAGCTCCATCAATTTCCTCTTTTAAATAAAAATTGAAGAAGTGTATCAGTAAAACTATATGAAAAGGCATATGGATAAGATATGATGAAAGCTCTGGTTGGTTGTAAACAAAAGAAAAACGTCAAATAGATATGAAACGGAAAGAAAAGGAAATATCCATTAAATAATATCAAACAGTCAAACGAGATAAAAATTAACATAAGCAGAACCTTGAACATAATAAATATCTAGTCCATGAGGTAAAATGTGTAGAAGTTGATCCAAGTCTAATAAATCTAATGTTTTACAAAATTCGATCTCATACGCCCAAAGTGTTTCATTGAATCCTATCACTTGTAAATGTTCAACAATTGCTTTCCAAATATTTTGTATTTTCAAGAAATACAGGATAGAAACAAAACATGGTTCTTCTTCTACATCAACTAATCTTTCAACAAATACTGATTGTCTCATCATCATAACATTTTTGTAATAAATTGTTTTACATTCATCAAATATGTTTTGATTAATATCATTTTCTGTTAATAAACGTTGAACAGGTATTGGTAATGAAGAATACTGGATGGTTTTTAACAATGTTATCTCAGTACATATATTATAATCATTCTTATTGGATAACATAAGACATTGTCGAAGTTGATGTCTTTTGGCAAGAGTAAATGCTGAATTTTTGAAATTCGGCGATCTAATAGCCAATCTCTTAAAATACAAGTGTTTACTTTCAAATCACATACACCAAAAACGAGTTGCTGGTCCATTGACATTGATCGTTATCAGATACTCAGTGACAAAATGAATTTTCGGTATAATGAGATCGGGTAAATGATGAGCCATTAACGACTGAAAACGTATTGTTAACGATTGAAAGTACATTAACCAAGATTTTCTGAATTTTATTGAGTAAGTATAACTAATTATTTCACGTAGGCAAGTATAAATATCTAACGTATTTGTTAGTTGATCAGGGTGGGTGTGTGGGTGTGGGTGTGGGTGTGGGTGTGGGGTGGGTGTGGGTGAGGGTGTGGTGTTGATGTGAGTGTGAGTGTGAGTATATATCAATTCCCGATACACCCACACCCACACCCATACCCACACCCACACCCATACCCACACCCACACCCACACCCACACCCACACCCGCACCCACACCCACCCACACCCACATCCACCCCACACCCACACCCACCCACACCCACACCCCACCCATTCTATGATTGCTTATCATAAATATTAAATCCAGCAGTATTATTTTTAAAAATTTCTAATAAATATTACAAAATTGTTTTATTCAATATTTGATTGAATAAATTAAAAATATTTTTTTTCACTCATGAAACATCTGAATATATTATAACCGTTACATTAGTATTCTTTGTTTGATAATTTCGTATTTTATATTGAAAACATATATTTATTGATGAAAATAACAGTTTATGATATAATGATGATGAATTTTAGTCATTCACTATTGAAATTGTATATAAAAAGAATGATTATATAATAATGATTTTGTCGATGTCACTTTATTTCTTCTTCATAATTTTTTATTGACTCTATACTAATTATTGTTAATATGCAGAGAAGATATTTATATATAAATTTAGATCATTTTTCAATAAATCATCATGTTTGTTTGTTATCACACTTATAATAATAATTAAAATTGAAGAATAAATTATTTTAATATATTCTATTGACTTGATAATAATGATTATTTTTATTTTTTTCTGATAATATTTGACTGAGCATACTAATACGAATCGTTTTACTAATCCAACGTCCTTTCCATACATATTTTATTCACTTGTGATATTCTATATCAATCCATAATGGATGAGTATTTGCTGGTTGATTATCAAGATTAATTAAATCAATAGATTCAAATGGATCATGTTCAAGATGATATAAATGTACTTCAACAATTGTAATATCATAAGTAAATTTCTTGAATATTGTTTAATACTTATAAATGAATTGCCAAAATTTGCTAAATTAAATATATATTGAATAGATTCTTGTTGATTTGGTCTTCGAAGAATTGATGTTCGTTCAGATAAAGATAAAGTTGTTTTTAATTGTCGATTTTCTACAGATGATAATAATCGATTAGATGATTTTTTATTTAATTTCTTTTTTTTCATGATGATGATGATGATGATGATGATGATGATGATGATGATAATAATAATAATAATAATATATTCATAGTAGAATATCAACCATGAAGTTGTTTAGCTTGAAGATATTGATTATGAAGCAGTAATGGAACTGAAAATGCTGATTCTAAAGGAAAACTTGATAATAAACCAACTGTTTGACTATCATGATCATTAAATACATCAGCATAATCACTCACAGTAATAAAAGGTGTTTCATCATATAATTTTCGTGATTTAAAACCACGAATAATTTTTCCAAATAATTCATCAGTTGTTCTTAATGTATTTAGATAAGCACTTATACATGGATCATTTGTATAATATTGATAATCAGTATATGATTGATCATCTGGAAATAGAAAAGGTACATGTGTTCCAGTGATGAATAAACTCATCATTAACTGATGAATTTGTTCTTCTGCTAAAGTTTTATCAAGCCATTTCCATAATAATGGTAAAATATTTAGATCAGCAGGATCAAATATACCAAGATCAGGAACATATCTCGAATGATCAATAATGTCAAATCCATCATATTGAAAATCATATTTAAGCTTTTGAATTAATTCTCGTTGATGATAAAAATCACCACGAACTGCTGCTGTAAATAATGCTGATCGAAATTTGGATTGATTAATTTTGTTTTAAATGTTTGATGAAGTAATTCTGGTAAACATTTATCATTAAATATATTTTTTTCGTTGACTTCTTTAAAAAATTGAGATTAAGTGGACAAATACCACAAAATATAGTAACAAGACTTTTTAACGTATAAGATGATGTTAATGATGCAATTGTACAAAGAGAATTTTTCCAAAACGAATTTAATATTGGTGTAATATTTGCAGCAGCAAGACCATTAGAACGAAAACTAGATTGTGTTGCATTAATAAAATTTTCATTCAATAGTAAAACATCAGCACGAATTCATTCAAAAATAATTAGAAAAACACACTTTATAGTTTTTTTTTAACTATAAGATTAGAAATCTTAATAGGTGGTGCACAAATTGCTTCAGTAATACTATTCACGACTGATTCTCCTGTATTATATGACACAAATACAATTGTTCTTCAATAATATGAAATAAATTCATGAAAATATGATAATAACATATTTGTTGATGAATTTTTATATGATTGTGGTAAATGATAAAAGAGAATAGTTATTATATAAATTAGAATAATAATAGAAACTAATATTTTTACAATTTTAAAAAGAACATAATGTAAATCAGTATATATTTATTTGAGTATAATGATTTATAATTGACCAAATTGTACATCCAAGAAAAAAATGTGAAAGCAAAAGAAATATAAATGAATATAAATGTGGAATGTATAAACTATATGTTGCTGTAAAATCTACTTCGAAGACAATTCTTTAATCTATATTACGACCTATTAGTAATTAAATAAAATTATATAATTAATCATAGAAAAAGATCTTCTGTTAATAAAAGGAAAAAAGCTATGAAAATAATCATGAGATAATGATCATTGAAATATTTTTTGTTAACTCACGAAACGTTGACTAATGAAACTCTAAGTGTTTTGAACATCTAAATTTTATTTTATTAAAAAATATCCTAAGCAAATTAATTTATTAAAATTGAAGAAAATGGATAATATAAAACTATAAGTTCATACCTGTTATTGTCAACATAATAATATTACATGATGAAATAAGAATAATAAATATAGCATAGACTAAACCGACTAGAATACCATATAAACTATGTTGAGGATGTTTCCATCCAACATAAAATAATAAAACACAAAATAAGTAGAACAAAATAAGATCAGGAATAACAATAAGCCATATCCAAAGAAATGTTTTGAATGAATAATTAGTTTTATTGTTATGATGATGAAATGCGAATATTAAATTTGCACAAGTTGCAGCAAAACATATTGGTGAGACACCACTAGGAAGACTAGACTAAAAAAATAGATAAAATAAAAATAAAAGGAATCAATTTTTGATTTTTAAGATTATTTTAAAAAGATTTCTCATGTTATTTTAACTTTTTGTAACATAAAATAATTTTCAAGTCTGATAATACCTTTATGACAATTATCTTTATTCTAGATATATTCATTTAGTTCTACTATAAAAATACGATGACGATGATATCGAAATATTGAACTAAATCTCTAAAATACGTACAAACTTCGCCAATCTATATGTCGCATCCTAAAGTAAATTCCATACATGATTTTGCGGAAACGTCGAAGAAATGCCGTGTTTAAATTTTTACAAAAAATATAATTATCAACCTGAAATAAAAATGAATTAAGTCTTATATTTTTGTAGGTATTTAAAAAGATGTTGATCATGTCTAGGATGATCAAATATTGTTAAAATAGTTATTCTGAGGATTATTTTCCTTCAATTGACAATTTACTATTCTTTTTATCAAACGATGCCTACTTCGTATAAAGAAAAAATTCTTTTTTGTCATAATAAAACTTCAAACTGTGAAAAGTAATTTAAGAAAAATTAAAAATTACAATATATGAGTTAGTATATATGAATTTGATTTCTATTTAAACTTAATGATTGATTATGTAAAGATGTTGATCAATTAAAAACTTATCATTAAAATAGAAATTTAATATTCGATCTGGTCAAATTATGAATGAAAGAATTAATATTTTTGAAAAACAAAACGAAATTTTGTTGAAAAAGTCTATAAAGAGATTATATCAAGGTTCTATTTTAAATGCTTATCAATTAATTTATTGTTGAAACAAATTTTGATGAAAATTAATAATATTTTATTAAAGATTCGACTACATATAAAATGGCTTAATAGTAGTACTTAATTTCATAGTTGATAATTCATTAATAATATTTCCTAATTAAATGTCTTAGTAAAAGTAAATTCTAATGTAATAGATAATATATTATAAATTCACATTAGAGAATAACGTTGAATATAAAGAAGGTGATAATTATTGTGATAAATTTATGATGATCTAACACATTACTTGAAAATTAAAATGAGAATAAAGTATAACGATTATGTTTGTTTATGCCATAAGATGCATACAACTAATATACATATACATATAAAACAATGCAGTCATGCATTTAGTAAAAGTATATATTACGCATATACATCACCATTTCGATGCAATATTTTTAAGTTTGGAAGAGAAAAGAAGAAAAGAAAAAAGAATATTTCGTATCTCAACGTATTTGTTATATGTACATGAGTTTATGTTCAATGTATTTTATTGTTACAACTGAAGATACTAATGTAGTATATATTATCTGACTTTTTTTTCAATTTATTATTAACAGTGATAAGCGACCTATTGCAATTCAGATATGTTGAATATGACATGAATTACGAGTCTCTTCGTTTTACCTTGAAATGACATTAGAAAAAAGGAAAAATATTAAAATAAAATCAGTGATAATTTACGTCGTTGTCTATCTAAAATTAAAATACAAACTTGAAATACATTGTGTACGTATTTTGAAATAGGGAATCTTATACTAGCAATGTAATAAGATATGTATTATTTACTCTCTAATATAAATAAATCTATGAAAGAATTTTTTGAAAAGTTTTTCTAATTATTTCTGGAATTATCTGTTTAGAAATGAAATAAAGACTATTTCTGAGTGGATGACTTATTAATTTTTTTATAGATTGACTACAAATAAACAAAATATAATACTACTTTTATTGATATTTTATAATTCGTCTATGAATGTTATTTCTAATAAAGATCAATATTTTTTAATAATGATAATTTTTTATTATGAAATAAAATTTAGTTGTAATAGAAAGAAAACGTCAATCAAGATTTCTACAATGACAAATAGTTGACAGCTATCTTAAAAAGAGAAAATCAATGAAAATTTTACAACTATTATAAAACTGAATGAATTGTTTAATACTTAACTTTTATATAGTAAATTTTCTAAAAAAATGATAAATAACTTCAATGCTTTTGAATAATTATAATAATAGGGACAGTTTCAAAAAGAGAATATAAAAACAACAAAATAAATAATAAAAAAAAATTTGTTTATTTAGCACCAAAATTGTCTTCATCAATTGAATTTGATGAGACTCATCGTATTTATTTTATTATTATAGATATAAAGTGTTTTTTTTTCAAATTAAAAACAAGAATTTTTCTATAAAGCTACATCTCCATTTTCAAAGAGTTCCATTTAAAGTAGCGCTCCACACTTTGATTATTATCATATTCATATAATAATTTATTCCACAAAGATCTTCTATATTATTATTTTTGAATTAAACAGCGAATAGTTTAATATGAAATCGAAGAATAATGAATTAAAAAATAAAGAATATAAAATGATTTTAGTAGC